GTAGGGTATTAGAACATTTGAAAATACAGCTGTTATTGATTTCTTCACTGCATAATTAACTTTTTGATAGATTGTTTCTTCCCGCCAAGAAAATAACAAAATGCTTACAACACTAGATATTCCTAGGCGGTCGCCTATCCAAGTACTAACCAAGCCCGACCCTGCTTGGCTTCCGAGATCAGACGAGATCAGGCGGTGTGGCCGTAAGCGATAAGACAAGTTGAAATTACAGCTCTTATTGATTTCTTCACTGCATAATTAACTTTTTGATTGATTGTTTCTTCCCGCCATGAAAATAACAAAATGCTTACAACACTAGATATTCCTAGGCGGTCTCCCATCCAAGTACTATCCAAGCCCAACTCTGCTTGGCTTCCGAGATCAGACGAGATCGGGCGTTTTCAGGGTGGTGTGGCCGTAAGCTATTAGAAAAGTTGAAATTACAGCTCTTATTGATTTCTTCACTGCATATTTAACTTTTTGATTGATTGTTTCTTCCCGCCAAGAAAATAACAAAATGCTTACAACACTAGATATTCCTAGGCGGTCTCCCATCCAAGTATTAACCAAGCCCGACCCTGCTTGGCTTCCGAGATCAGACGAGATCGGGCGATTTCAGGGTGGTGTGGCCGTAAGCTATTAGAAAAGTTGAAATTACAGCTCTTATTGATTTCTTCACTGCATAATTAACTTTTTGATTGTTTGTTTCTTCCCGCCAAGAAAATAACAAAATGCTTACAACACTAGATATTCCCAGGCGGTCTCCCACCCAAGTACGACCCTGTTTGGTTTCCGAGATCAGGCGTTTTCAGGGTGGTGTGGCCGTAGGGTATTAGAACATTTGAAAATACAGCTGTTATTGATTTCTTCACTGCATAATTAACTTTTTGATAGATTGTTTCTTCCCGCCAAGAAAATAACAAAATGCTTACAACACTAGATATTCCTAGGCGGTCTCCCATCCAAGTACTATCCAAGCCCAACTCTGCTTGGCTTCCGAGATCAGACGAGATCGGGCGTTTTCAGGGTGGTGTGGCCGTAAGCTATTAGAAAAGTTGAAATTACAGCTCTTATTGATTTCTTCACTGCATATTTAACTTTTTGATTGATTGTTTCTTCCCGCCAAGAAAATAACAAAATGCTTACAACACTAGATATTCCTAGGCGGTCTCCCATCCAAGTACTAACCAAGCCCGACCCTGCTTGGCTTCCGAGATCAGACGAGATCGGGCGTTTTCAGGGTGCTGTGGCCGTAAGCTATTAGAAGAGTTGAAATTACAGCTGTTATTGATTTCTTCACTGCGTAATTAACTTTTTGATAGATTGTTTCTTCCCGCCAAGAAAATAACAAAATGCTTACAACACTAGATATTCCTAGGCGGTCGCCTATCCAAGTACTAACCAAGCCCGACCCTGCTTGGCTTCCGAGATCAGACGAGATCGGGCGTTTTCAGGGTGGTGTGGCCGTAAGCGATAAGACAAGTTGAAATTACAGCTCTTATTGATTTCTTCACTGCATAATTAACTTTTTGATTGATTGTTTCTTCCCGCCATGAAAATAACAAAATGCTTACAACACTAGATATTCCTAGGCGGTCTCCCATCCAAGTACTAACCAAGCCCGACCCTGCTTGGCTTCCGAGATCAGACGAGATCGGGCGTTTTCAGGGTGGTGTGGCCGTAAGCGATAAGACAAGTTGAAATTACAGCTTTTATTGATTTCTTCACTGCATAATTAACTTTTTGATAGATTGTTTCTTCCCGCCAAGAAAATAACAAAATGCTTACAACACTAGATATTCCTAGGCGGTCGCCTATCCAAGTACTAACCAAGCCCGACCCTGCTTGGCTTCCGAGATGAGACGAGATCGGGCGGTGTGGCCGTAAGCGATAAGACAAGTTGAAATTACAGCTCTTATTGATTTCTTCACTGCATAATTAACTTTTTGATTGATTGTTTCTTCCCGCCATGAAAATAACAAAATTCTTACAACACTAGATATTCCTAGGCGGTCTCCCATCCAAGTACTAACCAAGCCCGACTCTGCTTGGCTTCCGAGATCAGACGAGATCGGGCGTTTTCAGGGTGGTGTGGCCGTAAGCTATTAGAAGAGTTGAAATTACAGCTGTTATTGATTTCTTCACTGCATAATTAACTTTTTGATTGATTGTTTCTTCCCGCCATGAAAATAACAAAATGCTTACAACACTATATATTCCTAGGCGGTCTCCCATCCAAGTACTAACCAAGCCCGACCATGTTTGGCTTCCGAGATCGGGCGTTTTCAGGGTGGTGTGGCCGTAAGCTATTAGAAAAGTTGAAATTACAGCTCTTATTGATTTCTTCACTGCATAATTAACTTTTTGATTGATTGTTTCTTCCCGCCAAGAAAATAACATAATGCTTACAACACTAGATATTCCCAGGCGGTCTCCCACCCAAGTACGACCCTGTTTGGTTTCCGAGATCAGGCGTTTTCAGGGTGGTGTGGCCGTAGGGTATTAGAACATTTGAAAATACAGCTGTTATTGATTTCTTCACTGCATAATTAACTTTTTGATAGATTGTTTCTTCCCGCCAAGAAAATAACAAAATGCTTACAACACTAGATATTCCTAGGCGGTCGCCTATCCAAGTACTAACCAAGCCCGACCCTGCTTGGCTTCCGAGATCAGACGAGATCGGGCGGTGTGGCCGTAAGCGATAAGACAAGTTGAAATTACAGCTCTTATTGATTTCTTCACTGCATAATTAACTTTTTGATTGATTGTTTCTTCCCGCCATGAAAATAACAAAATGCTTACAACACTAGATATTCCTAGGCGGTCTCCCATCCAAGTACTATCCAAGCCCAACTCTGCTTGGCTTCCGAGATCAGACGAGATCGGGCGTTTTCAGGGTGGTGTGGCCGTAAGCTATTAGAAAAGTTGAAATTACAGCTCTTATTGATTTCTTCACTGCATATTTAACTTTTTGATTGATTGTTTCTTCCCGCCAAGAAAATAACAAAATGCTTACAACACTAGATATTCCTAGGCGGTCTCCCATCCAAGTACTAACCAAGCCCGACCCTGCTTGGCTTCCGAGATCAGACGAGATCGGGCGTTTTCAGGGTGGTGTGGCCGTAAGCTATTAGAAAAGTTGAAATTACAGCTCTTATTGATTTCTTCACTGCATAATTAACTTTTGGATAGATTGTTTCTTCCCGCCATGAAAATAACAAAATGCTTACAACACTAGATATTCCCAGGCGGTCTCCCATCCGAGTACTAACCAAGCCCAACCCTGCTTGGCTTCCGAGATCAGACGAGATCGGGCGTTTTCAGGGTGGTGTGGCCGTAAGCTATTCGAAGAGTTGAAATTACAGCTGTTATTGATTTCTTCACTGCATAATTAACTTTTGGATAGATTGTTTCTTCCCGCCAAGAAAATAACAAAATGCTTACAACACTAGATATTTCCGGGCGGTCTCCCATCCAAGTACTAACCAAGCCCGACCATGTTTGGCTTCCGAGATCGGGCGTTTTCAGGGTGGTGTGGCCGTAAGCTATTAGAAAAGTTGAAATTACAGCTCTTATTGATTTCTTCACTGCATAATTCACTTTTTGATTGATTGTTTCTTCCCGCCATGAAAATAACAAAATGCTTACAACACTAGATATTCCTAGGCGGTCTCCCATCCAAGTACTATCCAAGCCCAACTCTGCTTGGCTTCCGAGATCAGACGAGATCGGGCGTTTTCAGGGTGGTGTGGCCGTAAGCTATTAGAAAAGTTGAAATTACAGCTCTTATTGATTTCTTCACTGCATATTTAACTTTTTGATTGATTGTTTCTTCCCGCCAAGAAAATAACAAAATGCTTACAACACTAGATATTCCTAGGCGGTCTCCCATCCAAGTATTAACC